GTACACATTAACGAAGCCTAAAATTTAAGACGCTTTTAAAAAACAGTTGCATCACTGTATCTGTTCATTCACCCATTCAGCGAACATTTTTGAGCAACTGTCATGCGTCAGGCACTGTGCTTCACACTGCCTGGTTCTCGGTGCTGGTGACTAGGTCTCCCACATCCACTACTTCTATAGCTGACTTTCCACTCCGAGATGATGGATTTACATTTATTCTTGTTAAATTTGATCTGCCTGATTGTGACCCATTGTGTCAGCCTGGTAGGACCTGTAAATCTTGAAGACAGCATCCAATATGTTCAACAGTCTTTTTCAGCTTAGTGGCAACTGCAAACATGATAAAACACTCTCTGTGCTTTCATCTAAGTCATGATATGTTGAACAGTTCAATGCCCGAGATAGAGCCTTGTTGAAAACCACTAGACACTTTGCTATAAGGCAACTTATCAACCCCTAACAGTACTATTTACCTAGCTCATGCTTTTCATATTATTCAGACAGGTATAATGAGTGACTTCATGAAATTCTTTCTGAAGTCAAGATACATTATGCTCACAGCATCTTTTTGATTTATCAGCTTAGAAACTTTACTTAAAAAAAAACGTTTGGCATGACTTACTTTAGTAAATCCACTTATCTTCAAATAATCCCAGATTTCTTTTCCAGGCAATCCCAAAATACACGAATAATAATATAACTCTCTGGGGGTTTGTCCTAAAGTTCACTAGAGTTCTTTTCATTTTCTGCATATGACCACTTTAAAATTGAGTTCATTCAAGGGCACCTCATAAGATTGTTGAGAGAGTTAAAAGGGAAAACGAGTGTTGAGCTTTTAGCACAGTCCTGGTACATTGTAAGGGCTCCATAAATATTATTATTAATGTTTGTGGCACTTATTTTTTCCCCTTCATTATTGAGTTGAGAATTCCAATTTTCAAACTCTTCCATCTCTCTCAAGCTATCTCTCTCCTTAGCCTGCAGGCTTCAGAACCACTGCTCTGAACTATTTGACATCTCCTATCCTTAGGCAAAGGAGCTTGACTGACTCTCTCCAGTCATTACTGCAAACTCTTGGGGTTCTCTTCATTTCCCTAGCACCAAGTTGTTCTTCTGGGGTGATCGAATTAAGACTAAGAAGCAGTTCTACTCATTTCTTTTTCTGAAAGGTGAAGCTTTCATCAAGGCAAGCTGGAGTTCACCAAATCATCATCTTTGGAGGACAGTTGCCTAAATAGTAGATCGATGTCTCTCTCTCTCTCCAAAAATCTGAATTTTTATTAAGTTGCACAGTCTAAAAAATTTACTATACTTTATATAGTTCAGTTCTTGCAATCAACCTGTGAAGTAGCTGTTATCATCTCCACTTTAGAGATAGTAAATTGAGACTCAGATGATTCAGAGATGTATTCATGGTGACACAGTTGTTAGGATATTTAACTATGACTCACACTTAGGGTACTAACTGGAAAGTGGCCTCTATGCCAGATACAAGAAAAGCATCAACCATATATTCTATCCTGCCAGATGGTTTCTGTAGAATGCTTACTTATATCAAGATTATATCACCTGCATTACTAATAATATGACAGATCATTTCTATCAGAAATATACCTGTATTTCTTTTATATTTTAATCCAAATGGTCTTCAACATTCATTCATTCAAAAATGAATCTGAATTGTGTACTTCCAGAATTTCCGCAACAGTGTATATCTTCTTTAACAAACAAAGCTACTCTTCTTGGCCGCCATCTATTCTATTCAATCTGTTCATGAGCCACTTCTATGTACAAGGCACTGTGCCAGAGGCTTTAGTAGACACAAAGCTGAGTTACGGGATGCTCAGTCCCTGCCTTGAGGGAGCTTACAAGTCACCGGAAAGAAGACCTAGAGGTAATTCAAGTACAAGAAAAACTAAGCTTAGTGCCTTCCGTAGAGGTACAAATATACCTCATATAAGGAAAGATGTCAGAAGAGTTTGAGATGGGTCTTGCACGTGTAGGATTTCGGTGTCTGGAGACGGTGCAGGACATGTATCGGGGGGAGCAGAGGGCAAGAACAAGAGGATGGAGGAGAGAAGATGGAGAAGCACAGGTGGGTTCAGGGACTGGTAGCTGGTCTATCTAGCTGAAGCACAGGCTTCATGGAGGGCTGGAAGGAGGGATGTGGAAAGGCTGGTTGGGGTTCACGCAGTGGAAAGCCCTGAATGCCCAGCAGGGACTTTTCTACCTTATTCAGTTTGGAATGGGGAGCCACTAAAGGTCTCCGGGTCAGCCATAACTTGATCCAAGTTACACTTTGTGAACAGTAATGAGGCAGCCACGGGTAGAAGGACTTGGAGAGTGTGAGAATGGAAGCAGAGCGCTCAGTGGCAAACTCATTCTTGCAGTCTTCATGAGCTACACTTTTGTTTACTATAGGAGCTCATCTAGGCCCACACGACAGATCCTGCTTTTCGATACTCTCCATGTCGTCACCCTCTCCAAAGTCATGACCTTTAATGGAGGGAAGGATGGGTCCTTTTTCCTACTTAGGTGTTTTAAGGCAGTAGAGATGCATCTCAATGTCTTCTTTCACTGCTTTCCTTGCAAACCAACTGAAGTGGAGATCAGCCTAGCCATGCTGGTTGAATAACGACTGGGCTCACCTTCCAGGAAGAGGATTCTCCCCCTACCCTCCATACATTACATCAGGCCTGCATGGCCATCACTGAACACCTCAATGGGGAGTCACAACCACATGCCATGTCTTTTCCTTGTACCTGATGGACGCAGTGACTTCTCCTTATTGTTCCAGTCAGAACGGGCTGCTGCTCCTTCCAAGAACTTTCAGCTTCACCTGTGACAGCAAATCTCTGTCCTTTTTCCTAGTGCTCCAGTGAAACTTCTCTTTGTCACCTTCTTCAACTCTCCAAACTCTAATACTACTACAAATTCCTCTTTGTTTTCTGAGAATTTTAATTTCCGGATTCTTTTGGTACTTTTAAAAATATTTTCTAGGAACTTTTTATCTTCTCTAGTAGGTTGGAGGGTGGAAGGATGTTCATCAACTCTTTCGTCTTCTCCCCTAACATGGCGATCAGCTGGTATTAACAGCTCATCACATGACTGGTGATTCTTCTAAGGAAATGCACTAACAACCCCCTTACCTACCCACCTACCTGCCCATATATCTAGTGTTACCCCTGCCTATGTAAACAGAAAGAATCCATTTGGGGGGAGTTACTTCCTTATGTTTTCCGGGCGACACAGACTTTCCACAATGGATTCACACATACTGGCCAATTTAGAAATAGAGAGTGAGATTCACTGAGGGCAAAAAGCTAGAAGCAGAGTTTTTCACTGTACAAAGGGCCTTTTAGCCACTAAGCTGAATGAACCAAAAGAAAAAATCTTTTAATGCATCTAAAGTAGAAAGTTTAGCGAGAAGCTACTGATCTTTAGACGAAGTAGGGTGAATTTTACAGACCACAGACTGAGTAGCTGGCTTGTTAGAAGATGAGCAGTTCCTTCAATAGACGTGAGGCAAAATGGGGCTGATTCAAGGAAGACAGACGGGCAAAATTACCTCCCATCAGGGCCGAAGATGTGGCAGAGGAGGCAGGAAGGACTGAACCATCTGCTGAATCATGAACCACGTGCCCAGTCTCCCTTCATTATCTAAAACCTCACCATAGCCCCTGAGAGGCCAGGAGGCACAGACAGAGAAAGCAGACTTGTGAGTGGGGTGGAGGGGCAAAGGAGGATGTTGGAACTTGACATAAAGAGATTTAAAGTCTCATTCCTTCTTGCTTTTAACTCTATAGTCCTATGAAAGCTAAGAATTAGGAAATTCAGCTCATAACACCTACAAATATAGGTGTTCAATTGCAGTTAGCATCTAAGAGAGAGTCTGAAGCACTAGAAGCATCTACTTTGTAAAGCAAACTGAAATAAATATAAAATCTAGCCAGAAGGACTGGTCCTCTTATTTTTATTAAAAGCATGAGGCAGCAGGAACACGTATCTGTCACATTCCTCAATAAGCAGGAACAGGTGTTGTCCCCAGGGCATGGATGGAGGGGAAGAGGATGAAAAAATAGTGACCTTTTCTTTGGGAGTCACTTCTTAGTACTTGTAGTAACTCCCTTTGACAGTGAAACATTTGGTAGCAGAGAGACCAACAGGTGACAAACCTGGGTAAACCGGCAGGAAACAGGTGGAAGCGAGAGCTGCTCCTTCAGTTCTCCTGACTGAGGTTTACTCTCTCCATCAAGTCCAGGGAGGTGCTCGCAGAGCCAGGAGTCAGCTCTGCTAAGACCCACGCTTCCAAGGGAACAGAAGAACGGTGTGGGTGGCTGCTATGGACTGAACGTTTACGTCCCCTAAAATTCATGTGTTGAAGCCCCAACCCCTAAGGCGATGGTATTAGGAGGTGAGCCTTTAGGAGGTAACTAGGTTTAGATTAGGTCATGAGGGTGAGACTTCCAAGAAAAGGAAGACAGAGAGCTCTCTTTCTCTCCACTGGCAAGCACTGAGGAAAGGCCATGTGAGGACACAGCAAGAAGCTCGCTGTCTACAAGCCAGGACCCGGGCTCTCACCAGGAACCAAAACTGCTGGCACCTTGACCTTGGACTTACCAGACTCCGGTACTTTGAGAAATAAATGTCTGCTGTTTCGGCTATCCAGCCTATGGTATTTGTTATAAGAGCCCGAGCTGACCAAGACAGTGGCCTAATTGTCCTGGGTCCTTTCCCTTCCAGAACCGGACCCAGAATAACATGAGGATGGAACAATGTCAAAGGTCATTTTGGCCTCAAGCAATTCTTCATTCTTTCTCCCAATGTCAACTCACCCTCCCCGTAGAGGCAAACATGGAATTAGAAGAATTTGCTATTGAAAACTGAGATGAACAGTGGATGAGAATAAAACTGTACAACAGAACTACCTTAAGGAAACTCCAAATCTTGGAACAGAAAAAGAGGATTTTTAAGAAACTGATTTCTTAAAATTTGCTTACCTTTGTTTAATCGTCCCATCACAGTAAATTCAAAATATTTGCTGTTGTCAGTCGAAGAGTAAAGGCCAAAGACGGTGGCTGAGCTCCTGGTCTGCAGCTTGAAGGTGAAGATCACATACAGCTCGTTCAGGGTGGGGTCTGTCAGGATTGGCTTCAGGACAGCAGGATTCAGCCTCTGGCTGGAGGATGGCAGAAGGTCAAAGACTGGGGAGAATGTGAAGAAAGGGATAATCAGTGAAAGATTTAACTTTGGGGCAAACATGCTTTTTGAGGGGAGATAATTTGACAGTAAGCTATGAAGTAACGTAAACTAATATTGTAATCGTTTTTCCCCATTGCCACACTCACCAGTTTTTCCCCATCACTTGTACAGTGGCTGGACGTTTGAACCAGAAGAAACGTAGCACAATATTCATCATTAGGTTACAGCCTCTAAGAGATTAAAGGTGCAAACCCTGAACTGCCTCTGGCGGAAGAAGTGACTGAAAATGCCCACCACGACAAGCACTCACGGCTTAAAGTACCGGGGAACAATGGGGAGCATCTAAGTCATTGTTTTCCTTATGTCTTGGGGTCCCTCATGTACCTCCTGGACCAGAGTCAACTGTATTTTCCTGGTCAGTGATAAATGACACAGGGGTTGCAGCAGAAGGCAGGGATGTCATGGGAGATACAGAGGCAGCAAAAAGATTTGCTACCTCTGTGAGACCTAAGTGTTCCCTTTGTGCATTTACAGTTCTCCGATATTTCTCTGCTAAAAAATCCCAACGTGGAAACAAAACAAAATAACGTGGTTTCTATTTCTTGACTGTAACTTGACTGATAGAGTTGGTTTACAAAAACTAGAACCTGCATTCGTACTTGTATAAGTTGCTTTCGATGAAGCCAGCGGCGCTTTGCTCAAACTTTGTAATATTTATGAAAGCTATGAGAGAGTATATCCAGGGTTATTTAAAAGGCAAAGGCCAAAGGTGGGTAATACTGACTAGAAGTTACTTAGTATCTCTGGTAGTTACGCAAATATTGTTGGAACAGTTCCGTAGCCTGCAGGGACTTCAGCCTCTACAGCTCTCTCTGGGTACAATAATCTGGTTACTAAAGGGCAACAGTATCCAAAATATAAAGAGCTCTTACAAATCAATAAAATAAGCATCCTGATAGAGAAATGGGCAGAGAACATGAAAAAGCAATTTACGGAAAAAGAAGTACAATGGCAAGTAAGTATATATATAAATGTTCATGTACCTCGCTAATGCTGAAGAAATTGCTAACCTAAACCATAAGGTGTTATTTTCACCATCAAATTGGAAAAACATCAAATATAATAATACCTCACTCTTACTGAGGTTCCAGGAAATGGGCACTCATACACCAGTGGGTAAGATTTAAATCAGTGTAAGCATTTTGAAGACATTTTAAAGAACAGTATCAAAGGCCTTAAGACACATAAGCCCTTTGACTCAGCAATTCTATGTACAGAAATGTATCCTAAGGAAATAATGGGTAAGATGGTAAATTATTTAGGTACAAAGATATCACCAGCAATGGTAATTCTAGAGTTTCTATTTAGGAAGGAATTATATGAAAATCTAATGGAAAGAGGTGGGGAAACTGAGCTCTGTCATCACAGCACTTCGTTCTGAAAACACAAATGGCTGGTAGCAAAGAAATAGGGACCTGACAGAGAGTAAGGGGATTTTACTCATCCCAAGCCATCCTGTGGCACTGCCATTGTTCAACGAACTGTTATTTATAATATCAAAACACTGGAAACAACTTAAGTGCCCAGTATGAGAGCCCTGATAATACATTTTGCTCCTTCCAAAACGTGGGAGACTATCTATTAATAAGGGTAATGCAGCTGCATACTTACAGATATGGAAAGATGCTCATGATATATGAATTGGAAAAAAGATCACAATACTCTACATATAGATAATCCCAGTTGAAATATACATTTGCATATAAAAAGATTTGAAAGACAAAACAACAAAATGCTAACATAAAGAGTAGCTATCTCAGGCCGGTGGCGCAGCGGTTGTGTGTGCATGTTCTGCTTCCACAGCCTGGGGTTTGCTGGTTCTGATCCCACGTGCGGACATGGCACCGCTTGGCAAGCCATGCTATGGTAGGTGTCCCACATATAAAGTAGAGGCAGACGGGCACGGATGTTAGCTCAGGGCCAGGCTTCCTCAGCAAAAAGAGAAGGACAGGCAGCAGTTAGCTCAGGGCTAATCTTGCTCAAAAAAAAAAAAAAAAAAAAAAAAAGAGTAGCTATCTCTGCGTTGTATAATTATAAATTTTTATTTCCTTTTCTTTTGCTTATCCAATTTTCTATTTTTGTAATAATGAACAAGTATTGCTTTTGTAATAAGAAAAAAATAACTAAAAGTTATAAGACAAACAGGCAAAGACCTAGTTATTCAGGAATGTCTACTCTTTTTAGAAGATAATCTGTCTTCAGACTGAGTCTGTATTCTTGCCTTCACATGTAGCAAGGACTTTACACAATTAGGGAAGTGGAGAGAATTGGAAACTTTATATTTCCACCAGTGGGGGCAAAGGGAAATAAAGTAATACGTTTAAAAGTTCCCTTCAGGACAAGAAATCCCCAGAAAAGAGATGTGTGTTTAAGGTATGGGCACTGAATTCAACGCTAAACTCTCAGTATTCCTGATTCCTGCTTTGACTAGGATCACTTCCCTAATTTAGCTCAAGCCAAATGTACTGTATTTCAATCTGTATGGTTCGTCTAATCCGCTGGTTTCTCCCTCAAGAGGCAAAGTTGGGATTAGTTAGTAATGAGTTTGGAGAGTGTTTTGAAAAGGAAATGAGACACTACAGTTTTCTATTAATGTTACTACATTTTAGTAACGGTGCCAGGATCTAAGTGCAACCTTCTAGTGTCAGAGGTGAAATTACTGCTACCAATGAGCCCAACACCACGGTATGAAAATCGAATACATACTAATAAGACTCGCAAGGCAGCCCAAAGGAGAAAGGAGATAAGCAAATGATCCAGGAGAGCTGGTAAATGCAAGACTAATTAACTCAATAAAAGAACCTATCAGAAACTTGACTTCATCAGATAAGCTACAGCACCTAAATTAACCAGATAATTGAGGCAGTCTAGCTTGATTTCTAGTCTCCACAAAAACACCATGAAGTTGTTAGTTCAAATGTCAAGAACTCATGTAACACAAAACGTTATCCCCTTGATTCTAACCTGCTAATAACTTTTGCCATAAGAAAACTTTTGAATTGAGTTAAAAAGCTTCCTTTCTGACACCAAAAGTGAAGGCAACAAAAACAAAAATAAACAAGTGGGGCTACATCAAACTAAAACGCTTCTGCACAGCAAAGGAAACAATCAACAGAGCAAAAAAAGGCAAACTATTTGCAAATCATATTTCTGATAAGGGGTTAATATCCAAAATATATGAAGAACTTATATGACTCAATAGCAAAAAAACAAACAATCCGATTTAAAAATGGGCAAAAGATCTGAACAGACATTCTTCCAAAGAGGACATGCAGATGGCTTATAGGTACATGAAAAGGTACTCAGTGTCACTAACCATCAGGGAAATGTAAATCAAAACCACAATGAGATATCATCTCACACCTGTTAGAACAGGTATTATCAAAAAGACAGGAAATGGCAAGTATTAGTGAGGATGTGGAGAAAAGGGAACCCTTGTGCACTGTTGGTGGGAATGTAAATTGGTGCAGCCACTATGGAAAACAGTATGTACGTTCCTTAAAAAAATTAAAAAGAGCATTACCAAATGATCCAGCAATTCCACTTCTGGGTATTTACCTGAAGAAAACGAATACACTAACTTGAAAAGATATATGCACCCCCATGTGCACTGCAGCCTTATTTACAATAACCAAGATATGGAAACAACTTAAGTGTCCATCGATAGATGAATGGATAAAGAAAATGTGCTATATACGTATATATATATATATATACCCAATGGAATATCATTCAGCCATAAAAAAGAATGAAATCTTGCCATTTGTGACAACATGGATGGATCCTAAGGGCATTATGCTAAGTGAAACAAGTCAGAGAAGGACAAATACTGTATGATCTCACTTACATGTGGAATCTGAAAACAACAACAAAAACCCAAGTTCATAAATACAGAGAACATATTGGTGGTTGCCAAAGGCAGGGGGTGGGGGTGGGTGAAATGAGTGAAGGGGGGGTGAAAAGGTACAAACTTCCAGTTATAAAATAAATAAGTCCTGGGGATGTAATGTACAGCATGGTGTCTATAGTTAATTATACTGTACTGCATATTTGAAAGTTGCTAAAAGAGTACATCTTAAAAGTTCTCATGACAAGAAAAAAATTTGAAACTATGTCTGGTGATGGATGTTAACTAGACATTGTGGTGACCATTTTGCAATGTATACAATCATCGAATCATTATGTTGTACACCTGAAACTAATATACCGTTATATGCCAATTATACTTCAAAAAAATTTACAAGCTTCCTTTCTTCCCTTCCTAGAAGCAAAGTCACAATAAATAAATATAATAGACTACAGTATTTCAACCCAAACTAAAAACAGTACAGCACCCCCTGAAACCACAATTCTGGTTGTCTGGTCTGGAATCAAAATGAGTTATCTGGTGAAATGCAAAGTTCGAATGGATGATTAGCGCCGAGGGAGGGGAAGGGACTTGAGAACGCCCTCCCGGGCATCCTTCACTCTGGCGCTGTGAGAATAACATTTTTACTTCAAGTTGTGTGTCTCTTTCAGCTTTATTTCCTTAGTCAGTAATAAATCAACCCCAGCACCAATTTCAAACAGATGAAGGTCATCACTGGATGACCCTAAGATCTTTTTTTATATAATTTCTTCCTTTTGGTCTCTACAAAAAATTCTGGTTAAGTGCTTTCTGTCCAACGGCTATTTTCGCACCAACTCACAAAGGGGTTTGAGGATTATCCAGGTGTCTTTCCAAATCACTTATCGAATTTTTACCTCTTCATAGAGAAAGAGCGTTTTCTCAGCCCTTCCTATTCTATTGATCTCGGGAATCAAGAGTTCAAGCCAACTCCCACAGCAGGCTTTGGGGGTCCACGCACAGCCGGAGCAGAAACAGGCGAGTGGCCAGGCAAACAGTGACGCTGCGCCGCCTTGGGACGCCCGTCTCAGACTGTCCCGGCGAACTTCGCTCCCGCCGCGACTAAGGATTTAGGGGACAAGGGCGAGGGGAGGGCAGGGCAGGGCGGAGAGCCGCGGGGGACAGAACCCAGATGTGACCCTCTCCAGGCAGGACCTGTTAGAGGTCTGGGGCCGTGTGGTAAGCTTTGAAGTAAAACCCGGGTCTTTGCATAAACTGACGATAAGTTTTGCATCCCCAAACTATTGTTTAGGCAATTAGTCTCATCGCTGGATAATCGAATCTCAGAAAATTCTACACGTACTCTAAGCACCGCCTCCAATCACGATATGCTTTGACTCGGACCCCGCGGGACAGAGAGGGGCCCGCGAGCCCCGGAGCCCCGGGCCGAGCAGCGCGCCGAGCAGGTCCCCGCGCTCGCGATGGGCCCTGGCCCGCGGCCCCGCCGGCGGGCGCCCACTTACCGTGCGGGGAGGCCTGCGCGCCGGCGCCCAGCCACGGCTGCAGGGCCAGGTGCAGCAGGAGGAGCGCGGCTCCGCGCGGGGCCCGCATGTCGGCTCTTCCCGCTGCCCGCGCGCGCCCGCCAGCCACGGCCCGGCGGCCCTGCCTCGGGGTCCCGGCTCCCCGGGGCGCGCTGCCGGCGGTCGGCCCGGCGGCGGCGCAGGTGGCGCGGGCGCGGCGTCCGGGCTGCCGTCGGGGGCGCGCTCGCGTGGGGCGGCGCGCGGAGCTGGGGGCGCTGGCGGCTGGACTCGGCGGCCGCCGCCCGCCTCTTTATGGCCTGGCGTGGCCGGCCCGGGCGGGGGAGGGCCGGGGCGGCCCCCTTGGCTGGGATCCCCTTTCGCCGGGAGGAGAGGGGGCGGCCGGAGCGGGAGCGCGGTGGCGGAGAGAAGGGCGCGAATGTGGGGACGCGAAGCAGTCCGTCCCAGCCCCACCCGGTCCCGTGGTGGGCGCGGCGCGGCCCTCGGGCGAGTGGTCTAGGAGGCTGGGAAGAGCGAGGATGGGCAGCAGGGGGCTGGTGAGAAAAGGACTAGGCGAGAGGCACACAGGAGGACCCAGGAGAGATGGAGAGGAAAGGGGCGAAAGGAGGAAGAAAGGACCCTGCCCCGCTAGCTTTGGGCACCATCAGCCCCCCATCTCTTGTACTCGATTTGTTTTCTGAAAAGAACATCGTTTGGACAGGCCTTTAACGCCCGTCTTGGGTTCCCTTCCCAACGAACCCTGAAGGCTCTCCAGGAACGTCCAGCCTCCTAAAAAGTGGTCCAGAGCAACTGGTTTCTTTTACTTCCTAAAGCTTTTCCTCAATACTTCAGATGTTGCATATTTTTCCCATCAAGTTTTGAGGCAGGAACAGTGAACGTTTGAAAGTTTTTGAGTTTTTAATGGAAATAAAACACATCTCAGGGAATCCTTCCGGATAGACCCTTTTTATAGGACAGTGGATTGTGCTTTCTGGAGAATTTTTCAGTCGGCTCTCCAAACACTCCGCCTACCCACTTCTGTTCCGCACTCCCAAAAGATTCCATGTGCAGTTTAAAGTATGGGAGTAGGACCCGAAAGACACGGAAGGAACCTCAGGAATTAGTCTTCCTCCTAGGCAAAGCCCCCGAAAAATAATGTGGAGTAACTAAAGAAAAAAATATTTCAGAACAATGGCAAGCTTTCTCCTCTGAAACAGTCTTGACTAATGGAGAAGAGCCAACAAAGTATTTCTATCCATCTCTTTATGTCTCAAAGAATTTCTTTCAGAGTTTAGGAAGCTGTCTGCCACAAGCTGAAAGGTTAACTCGTTATCTTCTTCCCAAATTATGCTGGAATAATCCCTCAGCGGTTATGATGCCCTTTACAGCTAATGACCTGGAGATTTGTGAGCTGCCTTCTGAGTGGTCTTCTATTTGCGATCTGACATAGTTCTAATCCAGGCTTCATTTAGTGCCACTTTACACTAAAGTCACTGTATGGAATGGGTCACCCTGTGTCTACGTATGAGAGAGCACTGAAGAAACAAGGGGAGTACATATTTCTAGCAACGTGACTGTAGACAATGAGATGGTTAGGCTGGAGAGTCTTCAAGTCTCCAAACTGTGTCCCCAGGAGTGGCTTGGGGTGGAGGGGGCTCCAGGCTCCCAACTTCTGCTTCAAGTAGAATAGCTTTGCTTGTATACATTTCACTGTGGACTTCAGAGTGAGCACGACTAAACTATAAGTTATTTGAAGGCAGAGACTAATTTTTAGTCATCTTTGCTGGGCATCCCCAATTCCTAGCAAATTCTTGGCAAAATAGCTCACACAGTTAGGCGCACAATAAATTTTGGTTGAAACTGGATAACTACTAAGTCTAATGGAGCAATAAAAGACCCAAATGACTCTGCTAGGCTAACAGAACTTACATCTAGTTTTGCTTCTAAAGAACCTGCATTTTTATGAGGCCATTCACTGGGGAATCTAGTCAGCTTTTTCTTCTTGTCTTCAAAATCAAGAGGATATTTGATTACAATAAAGTTCATTAAATTGCCTATGAAATCTATGGCAAAAGAGATGAAAGAGTTCATCAGTTTCTTTTCTGTGCCACCTCATTAAAATATCTGTTGCACTTATCACATTGAATTTTAATTTAATACTGTATTGATTTGTTTGATATTTTCCCAATATCAGACTGTGAGCTTATTGGCACTGGCTCATTTATTTTTGTAGCCCCAATTCCAAGTATAGTGCCCAGCACTTCATAGTGAGTAGCTCATTGAATTGACTTTCCTTCTCTCAGTACTGTAAAGTAGGATTAAAAAGTTGTGATACGTTAGTAATCCATTCATGCTGTAGGTTGCAAAAATGGTTCCAGTTCTTCGCTCTTCTACGTAAATGCCTTTTGCCGTCCCTCTATGACCCTTGGATTTGGCCATGTAGCTTATTTGGACTGTAGGATTTTAGCAAAGGGTCACAAGCAGAAACTTAAAAAGTACTTGCGTGCTTGGGCTTGTGTACTCCTGCCCCTCTGCCTTTGCCGTGACAGCATGGCTGTGCTAGCCTGTTGGAGGATGAGGGACGTGGAGAGAGCTGAGTGACCAGAGTCACCCTAGGCAAAGCCAGCTGAACAGCTGACGGCTGACTCAGGTGAGTGAGTTCAGGAAAGATCAGCCCAGGTGTCTAGCTGACCCTAGACAAGTGAGCGGTAAGCGTTTAGTTTTGTATGCCATTAAGATTTTGGGGTTATTTGTTATGTCATATTATGGTAGCAATAGATAACTGATATACTAGGTTTCCGTCCATTTCTAACTGTTGTAATACAGAGGACGACTCCATTTTTGATATTTGCTGAGAGCTTTCAAACTCCGCCACACCACTCCCCTCCCCTTGGCCCCACATCTGAGTAAGCTCGTAAGAAGTCCTGGGTGCTCCTTCTCTTGGTGCTGGTGGGAAGCTCGGACTGTGCAAGCCCTAGACCGTGCACAGAACCCTCACCCCAGCCTCGCCTGCCAACCAGCATAAAGACCCCAAAGCCATTCTCCCTTCCTACTCTCTCAAGCCATTTTCAGACCAGGTTGGGAGTCCATCCTGCTCTTGCCAGAAAGCCTCATTATGAGAGTAATAAACCTTTCCAAACCTTTTGGCTGACTGTGTGGCATCACCATCAATCTCGAAATCCAAACCCAATTTGGGGTGTGAGGATACCCATCCTGCTCCTGCTGGTCTTCAGAAGTGGGGGGAGTTACTCATATTACACACTGTTCTTTGGCACAACTAAGTGGTTTTATACACATTTGTTAAAAGAAATTGGTATAAAGTAATCATTAATTACGTCGTTTTCCATTTCACTTCTTTTTTTTTTTCTTAAAGATTCTTTTATTTTTCCTTTTACTCCCCAAAGCCCCACGGTACATAGTTGTGTATTTTTAGTTATGAGTCCTTCTAGTTGTGGCATGTGGGATGCTGCCTCAGCATGGCTTGATGAGGGGTGCCGTGTCTGCGCCCAGGATTCGAACTGGAGAAACCCTGGGCTGCTGAAGCAGAGCGCTCCAACTTAACGACTCGGCCGTGGGGCTGGCTCCTCCATTTCAATTCTTGAAAGGAATAGAGATGGAAGATGATGATTAACATTTCGAGATGGTTTAAAGGGAATATGGTTTACATTCTAACATGTGATGGCATTTACGCCACAGTGCTGGGAATCAGACTTTGGGCTGCTGTTTAGTTTAGTGTTAACAACAAAGGAAAGTGCTCGATTAAGTGACAGGAAAATAGCTTCTCTAGAAACTAGTTAGCACAAATGAGGGCCCAGTAGATGAAGCAGGGGGCTTTTGATTAGAGTGCAATTAAAAGTAAAAAACTTTTTTTCAGCATTTAAAAGATATGTTGCTTTAGCAGTTAGGCACTGAAGATTAGTGAAACAAGAAAAGAAATGTGTAAAATCACTCATTTTCAATCTTACTAAGGGTCTAAGTAGACTATTAAAAGACTCTCATTAAGCTTCTTTTTTTTTTTTTTTTTTACTTTTTATTAAGATTATGATGGTTTACAACCTTGTGAAATTTCAGTTGTACATTATTGTCAGTCATGTTGTAGGTGCACCACTTCACCCTTTTTGCCCTCCCCCCACCCCACCTTTCCCCTGGTAACCACCAATCAGTTCTCTTTGTCTACATGTTTAACTTCTACCTATGAGTGGAGTCATACAGAGATTGTCTTTCTCTGTCTGGCTTATTTCACTTAACATAATACCCTCAAGGTCCATCCATGTTATTGTGAATGGGATGATTTTATTTATTTTTTTACAGCTGAGTAGTATTCCATTGTGTGTGTGTGTATATATATACATATATACATACATATATATACCATATCTTCTTTATCCAATCATCAGTTGATGGGCACTTAGGTTGCTTTCACGTCTTGGCTATTGTGAATAATGCTGCAATGAACGTAGGGGTGCATGGGACTTTTGGAATTGCTGATTTCAAGTTCTTTGGATAGATACCCAGTAGTGGGATGGCTTGGTCATATGGTATTTCTATTTTTAATTTTTTGAGACATCGCCATACTGTTTTCCATAGTGGCTGCACCAGTTTGCATTCCCACCAACAGTGTATGAGGGTTCCTTTTTCTCCACAACCTCTCCAACATTTGTCACTTTTTGTTTTGGTTATTTTTGCCATTCTAACAGGTATAAGATGATATCTTAGTGTAGTTTTGATTTGCATTTCCCTGATGATTAGTAATGGTAAGCATCTTTTCATGTGTCTATTGGCCATCCATATATCTTCTTTGGAGAAATGTTTGTTCATGTCCCCTGCTCATTTTTTGATTGGGTTGTTTGATTTTTTGTTGTTGAGCTGTGTGAGTTCTTTATATATTATGGAGATTAACCCTTTGTCAGATATATAACTTGTAAATATTTTTTCCCAATTAGTGGGTTGTTTTTTTGTTTCAATGCTGTTTTCCCTTGCCTTGAAGAAACTCTTTAGTCTGATGAAATCCCATTTGTTTATTCTTTCTATTGTTTCCCTCGTCCGAGAAGCCATGGTGTCCGAAAAGATCCCTTTGATACTGATGTCAAAGAGTATACCTCCTATATTTTCTTCTACAAGCCTTATGGTTTCAGGTCTTACCTTTATGTCTTTGATCCATTTTGAGTTTATTTTGGTGAATGGT